AAAAAAAAAAAAAAAGAATATCAATGAGACTTCTCTCTTCACCCGCAGCGGAGGTGGGGAATCCCAGAGGCCGCAAAAGTACAAAACAGTTTTCATTGGTCGTCAGTCGTCACTGATTAGTTGACCCCACAATAGTAATTAAATATTTGGAACGACAAATATCCTTTGGCGCCGGACTCTGTGGACTTGGACCAACGTTTACTGAGTTGATTGGATTTATATGGGAAAACAAAATTGCTGCAACTCAAAAGAAATTAAGTTGGCTGGTCATACCAAAATATAGTAGTCAGTACTCCCTCCTTTTCAAAATAAGTGTCGTTTTGACTTTTTTAATTCATCCATTTTACTATATATCTAGACATAAATATAGTAGTTAGTATAATATTATAACTTTTAAGTTGGCTGGTCATACTCAAGCTTTCTCAACCAAAATATAGTAGTTAGTATAATATTATAACTTTTATTACTTAATATTTAGTACCATATTAGTGTGAAACGAAATGAGAGTAAATAGAGTACATAAAGTGTGTTTTCTGAAAAAAAAAAATTATGTTTTCTGAAAAAAAAAAAAAAAAAAAGTGTGTTTGAACACCAACTTTAAAAGAGTTCAGACAAAATTAAAAGTTCAAGAAATATAAAAACAAATATGTTTTCGAAGGGAGTTTCACTATCCTTCATATCTCTTTCGTTAATAACGCACAATGTACAGTGATGAAGCTCCACCAAATAAAACTCGGTTGAAGTTGGCACTCCGAATATCAAATCATTGAGGGTTCTAGATAAAGTGGAGATCATATATATGTAATTGTAATTGTATATAATATTAATGTAGCAAAAAAAAAAAAAAAAAAACCATAAGCATGATCTTACCCTCTATTTATAGTGGCAACCTCATCCTAATTTCAGTTTTTGGTACCCAAGAAAGGACTGCCTGAAAGCACATCGGGCTGCTCGACAGGGATAACTGGTTACCCGAGTGAGTTGATAAGATTTGTTTTTATCCTAAAGACTAGGATTATTTTGATGCATTCACACTTGATCATACCCTTTAGGTCCTTTAGATTTGGGTCAAGGTACCAACTAAGACTTATTCATTTGGGTGGTTTGGCTCTTTGTGGCCATTGTCCCTTTTGGTCACCTTACGTAACTTCAACACCCTTTGGGTCGAGTGGCGCTTAGGTTGGTCGGGTTTAATCTAGAACGTAGGTCATCTGGTCGAGTATGACACTTAGGTCGTTTGGTTTACTTATTTGGGTCGCATATTGGAGACTCGGGTTGCATTTGGAGCTTCAAGTCGCATTTTCAAGCCTCAAGTTCTTTACTAGTGCTTTGGGCCGCGTACTGGAGCCTCCGGTCGTATACTAGATCTTTAGGTTGTTTATTAGCATGATTTGGGTCGATTTTTTGTAGTTAGCATATTTTTGGGTCGTCTGGGTTGAAGAGACCACCACCCAGTTGTCTTGGAGACCTGGTTGGGTTGGTTGAACCGAGTGATCCACATTTAGCTCTACTCGTATCTATATCACCTAGTCCTCCCTCGAGACCTACTTTGTGTGAGCTCTTCCTGTAGCTCGCTAAAAAGTACAGTAACTGGAGTGACATGTCTTGTCGGGTGTGAAAGGGTTGACATGTGCATTAAATGTGGATGTGAAACGACTCTTTGGGTCTAAAAAAAAAAGTACTTTGTAAGACGTGCGATTGATTGAACTTTTGTGAAAATACTCAACAATAGTTCACGTACAATAGTCAATTCTAGTTTAATGAATCTTTATTATATTGCAAAATAATCAATAACCATTTGAAAAATATAAGAACTAAATAAAAATAAAGTGAAACTCACATTTAAAACAAGATAAATCCACATAACTCACCTTGACAAACCCACAAAGATTCATTAATATACACTTTCCCGCTGATATGGTTGAATCATATACATGCAACAAATATTTTTATATTCATGTACGGAACTAAATATTTAGATTGATCTTGTAAACAAAGTAAAAGAACGAAATCTAAAATGTTATTATTTTACTAACATTTCTTATTCTTAAGTTTATCATGATTATTTCATATAAATGGAAACGAGATAAAAATATGCAATTGTAGAGAATAGGTGAAAATAAAACTCAATATTTTTAAATCAAATAATTTTATTATATTTTTCTTTCAATAAATGAAAACAATGGACCCTCATAATTTGCGAGCCATGGGCGGTCGTCCAGCTGGCCCTTCCCCAGGGTATGGATAGAATTAAGATGCACTACGTACATTTAGACTTGAGGAGCCTCTCGAACGACATAAGGAAGATATGCCGACTTGATTGTGGAGGGTTGTCATCTCGGTGAAGACAACATAATCATTAGGCACACCAGCAATATTCACATCTTGAACATAAGAGTTAGGTGCAGTAGTGAATGTACTTTTCATGTTTTTACAAATTTGTTTGATGATCAAGAATATTTACCGTATTGTGAATTACAGAACTTCGGCTACTTGAAGATTGTGGGTTGCTACCAGAGCTGCTGCAAGCCTGCAAATGGCATGATATATAATGATGATACACCGTCGATTAAAACATATAAACTACAAAGTGGGTCACGACTCCAAAACAAAGTAATTTTGTACTTTTAGTTTAAGTTGCGTCTCATCTACAATTAACTAAAAATTTAACAGAATAAACAAAAAAATGGCAAATTTATGTAATGTTCTCTCCTTCATGTACATATATCCTCACTAGAAATTGCCAAGTAATTAAGCACCCCAAACTCATTCGGTTGTCCATGCTGCGCCACTATAAATTCTTCGAACCAACGGGAAAACAAACGAAATCCCTCATGTACAAAACGAAGCAGAATATGAAGCTACGTGAGCAAACCAAATAATTCACATGCAATGATGGAATAAGCATAGTGTTGTCCAAATTATAAACAAAAGAAAAGAAAAGAAATATAAGTGAACCGTTATATCATGCCGTCGGAGTTTGTAACTGTTATATCATCATGAACCGTCAGGGATAGTTGATCTAACAGTTACAAAAAATCTCTGACCGTAGCATCTTCTCATATTATAATTTCCTTATCCAATTTCTTGTTGGATAACAAAAACATTTTCAACAATTAATTAAGAGGTATTTGCAATACTACCTTGGGTCCAAGGACGCCGGAGATGGAGGAAGGAGTTTGAGGTCGTTGGTGGTGGGATTCCATAAAGCCTCTCCTGGTTGCGTTTCTCTGTCGCGTCGCTCATCATAAGAAAGCAACAACAAACCGTTGCAACTACCAAAGGGGTAATGATAACGGTGCGGGCCGTGCGGCTTTAGATTGTTAACATACAAGAATTACATGGCACGTGACTTTGCTCCAACATGACAATCCCAAGATGAGCTGGACGTGTACTGCATGTGTACTGCATGGAGTCTCTTCATTTTCTTTTGCTTTGCTTTTGTTGCTTTTCAGTGTAATTGTGTGGCTGAGATTGCTTCTCTCTCATGTATGGTTAGGATGGCATGTGACTAGGGTTTATTTTCTATATATAGGCAAACCTTGTATCAGAAACTGTGTGCATTGAATAGAGCATCACCTTCTTCGAGCTTAAGCTGCTTTAATGGCTTTTATGATAAATCTTTGTCTTTTCTCTCATGGTATCAGAGCAGGTTGATCCTGTCTCTGATACGTCCTTTTCTTTTTCTTGATTTTTATCCATTCCAATCTCAGCCATGTCAGGTTCAACCACATCATCTTCAGATCAACCACCCACCACACCTTTATCCTCACAGCTTCAAGTTGTGTATCCCCAAAACCAGCTGTTAACCATTAAACTAGATGAAGGAAACTATCTTATCTGGAAGCAACAAGCTCTTATCACAATCAGAGGCTATGGTCTTGAGCATTTCATCACTGGAGAGCAAGCACCTCCTCAGTTCATCGAGCAAGAAGGAAACCATGTCCCAAATCCAGAGTTTGTCACACATCAAAGACAAGACCAGATCTTGGCATCTTGGCTCCTCTCCTCTCTCTCTGAAAGTCTATTGGTTCAAATGGTAGGTTTGCAAACCTCAAAGGAGATCTGGAGTGCTCTAGCCACAAACTTCACAAGTCAGTCCTTAGCCAAACAAATGCAATACAAACTTCAGTTGCAAACCATGAGGAAAGGAAATCTAAGCATGAGGGAGTTCCTGAACAAGATGAAAGGTTGCTTTGATATGTTGGCCTCTGTTGGAGCTAAAGTAGCAGAAAAAGATCAAATTCTCCACATCATCTCAGCCCTTGGGACAGAATATGATCCTGTGATGATAACTGTGACCTCAAGGATGGACACCTGGTCAGTCATGGATGTCCAAGCTTTACTTCTAAGCTATGAGTCTAGACTTGAATCCACTGGAGCTATCAACCTCAACAATGGATCTGGTAACATCAATCAAGATGGATCTCAACCTTCTCTAAATCTGGCTCAGAATCCATCAAGAGGTGGCATGAACAACAACTCAAATGCAGCAAGAGCTAGAGGTTACTCTAATAGAGGAAGAGGCAGATCTAGAGGAGGCTATAGAGGCCGAGGAGGTCGTTTTCAGGGCCCAAAACCTATATGCCAAGTTTGTTGGATCACAGGACATACAGCAGACAAGTGCTGGTACAGATTTGACTCAAAATTCACTCCTCAAAACCAGCACCAAGGTGGATCTGCTTCACAGACACAACATGCTGTCTCAAATGCTTTTCAGGGAGGTTTTTCTAGAAATCCAACACTCCACATGGCTCAGCTTCCTTCACCTACAAGCTTTCAGAATGATGGCAACATAGAATCCCTCTGGTACCCAGATTCAGGAGCCACCAACCATGTCTCAAGTGACCTCAGCAACCTCAGCAGTGTTTCAGAATATCAAGGCAACAACAGAATCCACATGGGTAATGGTGTTGGTGAGCATATTCTTCATATTGGCAAAGCTCAACTTAAATCTCCTTCATGTTCTAGAACTTTTATCTTAAATAAACTTCTGCATGTGCCTTCTATTACTAAGAACCTCCTTAGTGTTTCTGAGTTTGCAAATGATAATAAAGTGTACTTTGAGTTTCACTCTAATTCTTGTCTTGTTAAGGATCAAGCTACTCATCAAGTCCTGCTCAAGGGAATCCTTAAGGAAGGCCTATACCAGTTTCACTTCTCCAACACTAAAAGTCAAGAGCAAACTCTCAACCTCAGTCCAAAGAAAAATCACCTTTTGTCTAGTTTTAGTCCTAGTGTTAATGCTGTTTTTCATTCCAAGAAGTGTGATCTTAATCTGTGGCACAAAAGGCTTGGACATGCAGCCTATGATATTGTAATAAGAGCTTTAAAAGATTGTAACTTGCCTTATGATGAAAGCAATATGAATGAAGTTTGTTCCTCTTGTCTTCTTGCAAAGGCTCACAGATTGCCTTATTCACTTTCTGATTCCTTGTGTCAAAATCCTTTAGAACTTGTGCACTCTGACTCGTGGGGGCCTTCTCCAGTTAAATCCAGAAATGGTTATCAATATTATGTCACCTTTATTGATCACTTTAGTAGGTTTACCTGGCTATACCTTCTTAAAGCTAAATCAGACACCTATCAAGCTTTTATCCATTTTAAGAGACTTGCTGAAAACCAATTGAATAAGACCATTAAGGTTGTTCAAACAGATTGGGGGGGAGAATTCAGATCCTTGACAAAGTTCTTTCTTGATCATGGAATACAACATAGACTGTCTTGTCCATATACCCCCCAACAGAATGGTATAGCTGAGAGGAAACACAGACATGTGGTAGAAATGGGGCTTTCATTACTTGCTGAGTCTTCTATGCCCATGCATTTCTGGGATGATGCTTTTATTACATCTTGTTACATTATAAACAGGACCCCAGCTAAAGGGTTGTCTTATAAAAGCCCCTTAGAAGTTTTGTATGGCCATAAAGCCAATTTGCAGATGTTAAAAACCTTTGGCTCTCTTTGTTATCCTTACATTAGACCATACAACAAACATAAACTCCAGTTCAGGTCTGATAAGGGTGTTTTCATAGGTTATAGTCCAAGCCACAAAGGATACAAAGTTCTTTTGTCCACAGGGAAAGTGATCATTACTAGGGATGTGATTTTTGATGAACAAGTTTTCCCCTTTAAACAGAAACTAGACATTCCTTGCAAAACTGTCTCAGCTAGTCCAAACTTTTCTAATGTTGCTCCTTGTGTTCTGGATTTCTCTCATCTCTATCACAAGACACCTGTTCATATATCTGAATCTCATAGTCAAGTTCCTCACACTCCTTCTTCTTTACCAAATAATCATTCAACAAACACACCAGAATCCAGACATTCTGATCATTCCAACTCCACCATACCTTTGTTTGTTGAGCTGCCAATATTGAGAAATGATGTTCATGAACACAATGCTCCTGTGGATAACTCTAATGTTGCTAACAATTCTGTGCATCCTATGATAACCAGGTCTAAAAGAGGCATCTTCAAGCCAAAGTTATATAATGTCTCTCTGCAGGAACATGAACCAAGCAACCTGAAAGAAGCCTTGACAAATGATAACTGGAAAAAGGCCATGCAAGAAGAATATGATGCTTTGCTAAACAACAAAACATGGAGTCTTGTTCCTCTACCTGAAGGTTACAACATTGTAGGGAGTAAATGGGTTTATAAACTAAAGAGGAACCCTGATAACTCCATTTCCAAATACAAAGCTAGATTGGTTGCACAAGGATATTCCCAAACTGCTGGTTTTGATTTTAAAGAAACTTTTAGCCCAGTTATTAAACCAACCACCATAAGGATTATGCTCTCTATTGCAGTAAACTTAGGGTGGAAGGTTAGGCAGCTTGATGTGAGTAATGCTTTCCTTCATGGAGAGTTAGAGGAGAATGTTTACATGAGGCAGCCACCTGGTTTTGAAATAGAATCTCAGAACAATAGACCTCTTGTTTGCAAATTGCATAAAGCTTTGTATGGCCTCAAGCAGGCATCTAGGGCCTGGTTCACTAAAGTAAAATCAGTGGTGCAAGATCTTGGTTTCAAGAATTCCTTTGCTGATCCTTCTCTCTTCTTCAAAACAAATCAGAATTTACAGGTTTTTCTCTTAGTTTATGTTGATGATATATTAGTCACTGGAAATGATGAGCAAGCAGTTGCAGATATCATTGATAATCTCAACAAATTTTTTCCTGTCAAAGACCTTGGAGGACTTCATTATTTTCTGGGAATTGAAGCAACTCAAACTCCTAATGGGTTGTTGATGTCTCAACATAAGTATATCACAAATCTGCTAACAAGGGCAGGCATGGATAAAACCAAAAGCTGTGTCACACCTATGATCTCATCTTCTAGGCTCTCTAAACATTCTGAAGGAACATCCTTTGATCCAACATTCTACAGGAGTATTGTTGGTGGTTTACAATATTTAACCATCACAAGGCCAGACATAGCTTTTGCAGTTAACAAGGTGAGTCAATTCATGGCTTCTCCTCTTGATATTCATTGGAAGGCTGTTAAACGTATCTTAAGATATCTGAGTGGTACATCTTCTTTTGGACTGCATCTAACTAAGGCCATTGAGATGAAAGTGACTGGTTTCTCTGACTCTGATTGGGCATGTGACATTGATGATAGAAAATCAGTTACTGGATATTGTTTCTTCTTAGGGGGTAATCTTATTGCATGGTCCTCAAAGAAACAAGATGCCATTTCCAGGTCCAGTACTGAGGCTGAGTACAGAAGTCTTGCTCACACAAGTGCAGAAATTAGTTGGATACAGGCCTTGTTGAAAGAAATAGGCATTGTGATTAAACAGCCACCAACTATTTGGGTTGACAATTTGGGAGCTATTGCTTTAGCTTCCAATCCTATTCTGCATGCTCGCACAAAGCATATAGAGCTTGACATTCACTTTGTTAGGGATAAGATTGCCAAGGGATTGCTGGCAGTTCATCACATCCCTTCAATAGATCAGTTAGCAGATATTTTAACAAAGCCTCTAAGTCATCAATCCTTCACTCGGCTAAGACACTCACTTGGTGTTCTGTGTCCCACCTCGCTTGGCTTGAGGGGGCCTGTTAACATACAAGAATTACATGGCACGTGACTTTGCTCCAACATGACAATCCCAAGATGAGCTGGACGTGTACTGCATGTGTACTGCATGGAGTCTCTTCATTTTCTTTTGCTTTGCTTTTGTTGCTTTTCAGTGTAATTGTGTGGCTGAGATTGCTTCTCTCTCATGTATGGTTAGGATGGCATGTGACTAGGGTTTATTTTCTATATATAGGCAAACCTTGTATCAGAAACTGTGTGCATTGAATAGAGCATCACCTTCTTCGAGCTTAAGCTGCTTTAATGGCTTTTATGATAAATCTTTGTCTTTTCTCTCATAGATAATCGATATAATTTTCGACATTATGGCCTGTATTGTCGATCGAAACTGCCAAGCACCTGAAGCTTGCATGACCTAGTGGTCGTCCATATTGTCACGCCACTAGAAACTTGCACTTATTCTTTGACTCGAACGGGTGAGGAGGAGCCTGAGAGAAGTTTCTACACAAATTTAAGAGGGGTTTCAATTTTGATTTGAGATTGAGAGATATGATTGATTGCAGCCAATTTGTCTTCTGTCGAAGAAAGAAGAAAACGAAACACTAGGCGGCGTTTGTATGTGGGCATTGTGAACTGTTGTTGCTTGTTCAAGAAGAGAGAAGAAAAGAAACACTCCCAATCCTAAAGAGGTGCGAGCGATTTTAAACCATATGTGCCCATTTCGTTCAAAAATCGCTATTCAGGTACAAAGGAAGGAGGCAAAAGCCTAAGACCGCTAGACAGTTATACGCCGCGGGTAAGCAATGTCAACGAAGTCATGCTGTAACCATGGTTTAACTGCCGACGGTGGATCTGAGAGCTGTTGATAACCGCTCGGACATTGGTGAGCTAGAATCGCCAAACAGTCAGCCGCAAAATTAGCTTTCCTATAACACTTTTCATTTCTATTACTTAGGTCTAGTTTACTTTACTGGACGGTATTAGACAATTTAATCTAACCAACTTTACACGTCAGCATTTTGTCCCAATGTTTACTTCATGGGATGAAATTTTCTGAAACAAATCAAGCATTTATTGTGTGAGATTAAATCAGATGATAAAATTATAAATGACAAATTTACCCTTGTACAAAGAGTAAAAATGCAGACCGTGTTTACTATGTTCGAAATATCTTTTACCCTCTTATCATTTTCATAAGAGCCCTGATTTGTAGAGGTGGCCGAGGTCAACAGCAACGCGCGGTGGACGTGGGCGAGGACGACATTCCGAGGACGACCGGCAAGTGAAGATGACGGCATCATTCCAAGGATGAGTGTGAGCTTTCATACATTCTACTCTATTGTTCATCTGTTTTCCTTTGTAGAGTTCATGTTCTTCCTTTTAATTGCTTTTTATGTCATAACATGTGAAATGTTGTTACATCGAGCCTTGGTTGACCGCTTCTTCGATATGTTCATTCTCTTTTTGCATCTTCATCCGGCTTTACTTCTTCTCTTCGAAGTACATAAGATCATAGTTCTCATTCATCTAGAAAAACTCATTTATCACTCCCCACAAGGCTCCATGTATAACTCGTAGAGAGGGGGATGTAAAAAATGGACACAAGGGACCATGCCCACATGCCGCTATCCCACACCCAAACTTCATAACTATCGAAAGGATCAGCAACACAAGTCGACCATCGAACAATAGCACCAAGTGACCCATGATATTGTATTTTTTGATATAGATAGATTTTGGTATCTTAAAAATTTGGTGTATATTATTTCAGGACTTCTTTTGTATCGATATATTGGAGCTCGTAAATCTAAATCTAAATACACTATTCACCATTGTTCGAATTTACTCCCGGCCGAGAAGTGTAGGTAAGGAATGAGACCAAACAAACAAAATAAATAAATATAAATAAATAAATAAAAAGAGAGAGAGGAACGAACGTGACTTGCACTCAAACAAAAATATACATCTCATTAAAATTAAATACCAAAATACGATTTTTTTCGTCTTTGTGCTTAATTTTTTTTTTTACAAAATTTTCTTATTACACAAGCACAAAATATAAATATAAATTGTAAAAGTTTACCAGAAATAACCCCCGAGCAAGAATTTTTGACCGGGAAAATCTATATATGCAGGTGGAATCTCTTTGGCTTGAATTTTTGCTCTCAACCTAATGTGGAGCAAATGTGTGGCTCCTCAAATATCAACTGCACAACAGTTTTCTACTGAAAAATCTACATTATTGTGATGAAGAAGAGGGCTCCACAGACCATCAAACACAGTAAATATCTCACGTCAATTTTGTAAGAACCTGAAATTGAAAAAACCGAAAAAAAAAGAGGCAATTTTTCAAACACAGCCACAAGTGATGGAAATGCCATAGCTCGTATTATGAATTAATTTTACAAACAAGTTCAGCTCGAGTAATATGATAAATGAGCTTAGATTATTTGATGGAGCTCGAATCTTTTAAGTAAATGAGCGAACCGTATCAAACAGCTCGTTTTGAATAACTCTAATCAAAATACTCATTAAAAGTTTGAATGGAAATAAATTTTTTTAACTGAAATTATCATTAATTTGAATCATTTTTAAGACAATTAAAAAATAAAAATTAATCATTATTATTATTATTATTATTATTATTATTATTATTATTATTATTATTATTATTATTATTATTATTATTATTATTATTATTATTTAATTAAAAACTTTATCCGCACATATTTTTAACTATCAATTAACATATTATTTTATACCATATCGAATCTAACCATTACACTTTTATCTTTTATTCATTCACAATCTTAAAAAAAAAATATTAAATTTTAAAGTTAATTTTTTTATCTTTATATTGAGATGTAACTGAATTTTTCTATATCCAATTGCAACCTCAGGGTTGCATAAGTTGGGACTCGGTGTTCTGAATAAGCCAAACTAGCAAAAATTAAAAATCTAAATCATCATTCTCTCTATATATTCAGATATTGATTAAATTATGCAAACTCGAAGCTGATGTCCATTTTCCAGAACATTTAATCCCCTAAATCCATTTGTAGACAAAGCCTAACAACCCTGTTTCGTTATGTTTTCTTGAAATGTTAGCAAGGGCACCCCTTAAAGTAGCTCTCAGACATTTTAGTAGGCTGAAAAAAGGTTAGTAATTATAACTTTTAGCATCTTATGTTGTTAAAAATATCCAATGATTTATGATTGAAGACTTTTATAGTGTCCCATGCCACAGACTTTCATCAACTGCAGCAATCTAAAAAGAAAATGACAAATAAAAAAAAAAAATTGATAAGTAAACTTACAGCTTTGCCCGGAAGCAGCTGCTGGAAGGGCAGGAATCTTGACGGCTGCAGTTGCAGTTAAAGAATGTTTATTTAATAGTAGAAATAACAATAACAATGGAAAAAAAAAAAATCATGGAAAAGTTACAAATTCAATGTGCTTACATTTGTTGCATGATGAAGATGGCAACTGAGTGGTTGCAGGCCAAGGAGCTGGGATATTATCGTTCAAATCACAGAGGAAGCTCACCCCTGCAGATTTGTCGAACACGACATCTGATGGCAAGCTTGGAAGAAGGCATCCCGATTCTAATCTCCCAAAAACACAAACAGACAACATCAAGGAAAACTGTACAGTCCCATAAACTCGGTGAATTCAGAGATAAAAAAGAAAAAACTTGACAAAAATTTCAAGTTGATTGCTTGAGATATTTGTTGAAGATGGTTGCAGTTTGTTGTGGCAGCTCACAATTCTTATTTCTTAGCTTAAAGTCGCAGCACGTTTCTTTTATTTCTGTTAGTGTTTTATTTTAGCTGTTTAAGTTCAAACAGTGTCGTTTTGGACATGTAAAAAGACACTGCTTTATTCATTTTCTGGTTTGTTCTTTTGCATGGATTTTGCTGTATATATATGCAGCGTGTACGTACAATTCGGGTTGATCGGATATTTTGAGCTAAGAGCACTGAATTTACTCCGAAATTGATATGTGAGATAAAATACAAAATGCTTGTGTTTCAACATGGTATATAGAGCAGTAAGTTCTGGGAGCTTCGAGTAAGATTGAATCAAATCAATGGCGATGAAGTGAGAAGGAGTTAAAAGCCTGAATAAGTGTGGCAGACATGCTCATACAGTGGCTACTTGTTTCAAGATCCATGGAGTTAAAAGGACAACAAAATAAGAATTATGCAAATAATGTAGAGATCTATGAAGATGCTAAGGGGTCGAAGGAAAATACAATTGAAAGAACGGGTTCTAAGGATAGTGATATGTCATTTGTGGTCCAACAACTGAGATAACACAATACATTAAGGAAAAGAGAAGATGGAGAAGAAGATGGATTATGCACAATCGATGGGTTTTGCTGGAAGAAAGGAGGAAGATGAGATGCATTTTGCTTTAACTATATGGATCCAAATAGATAAAGCTAGTAGCTAGTAGGCACGTGTGTGGAGATTCGAAATTTATGGAAGGAATTTTCTACAATCCTGTGACAATCTGTTTACCTGATGGAACATATAAAAAGGTTGAAATTGGTGGAATGGTGACCATAAATAGCAAATTGACCCTGCAGAATATTTTATATGTGCTAGATTTTAAAAGTAATTTGCTATCAGTTAGCCAACTGTGCTTGGATGAAAAAGTGTAAAGTTCATTTTCTGCAACATCTTGCTACTTACAGCATTGTGAGAGTGGAAAATTGATAGAGTAAGGGACATCAGTGGGGAGTCTATACGTGTTGAATAGAGAGCGTGAAGGAGATGGAGTTACAATGGGCAGAAATTTATCTTTTGAGCTTTGGCATCAGTGTCTTGGGCATGCGAGTTTTACAACAATGAAGCATCTTCCTTTTCTGAAGTGAAGGGAAAATACACAGATAATGATGAAAAGAAGGTACAATCTTTTGAAATATGTTTTAAAGAAAAGCAGCATAGGCTGCCATTTCAGCACAGCTCCATACATTCTACTAGATGCTTTGAAATGTTGCATGTGGATATATGGAGTCCTTGTAAAGAGGAGGCTTTAACTGGTACCCCTTGCTTCTTGACTGTGGTGGATGACTATAGTTGAGGCGTGCGGGTTTTTTTGATGGCGCACGAATCACAAACAGCCGAACTATTGAGCAATTCTATTCGAATGATTGAGACTCAATTTAAAACATTAGTTAAAAAGGTGAGAATAGACAATGTTAGAGAATTTTTGGGGAAAGAGTTGAAATTTTTCTTTCCTTGATAGTTCATGAAACTAACTTTGTTTATACACCACAACAAAGGTGTGGTGGAAAGGAAGCATATACAATTGCTTGAGATAGGCCCTTTTCATTGCATTTGTCATCATAAATAGGCTGCCTAGTGCTATCTAAATTGGAAGTCGCCTTTTGAAAGAGTGTATAATAAAGGTCCAGATTATACCAATACCAAATTGAGACTTTTGGTTGCTTGGCCTATGCGACTAAGGTTCATCCTCTATAGTCTAAATATGAACCTAGGGGAAACAAATGTATATTTCCAGATTAGAAGGGTTGTCAGCTTTATGATTTGAAGAATTGAGATTGTTTTGCAGCCAGGGATGTTGTGTTATTTGAAGATATATTTCCCTATGTTTCACAAAATAAAGATGTTGCGGTTGTGCCACAAACTGTTGAGGGTAATGTTACACCAGTTGAGATAAGGAAAATCCATAAAGTGATCATTGTATGGAAGTTGATGGTTTGGGAAGAGGTAATAGAAGCATGCAAGCACCTAGGCAAGCACCTAGGTGACAAAGTGATTATATTTGTGGTGGTACACAAACTTTATAGTCACCTAAATGTGGGTGTATCCTATCAACTCATATCCTTCGACAGTTCATCATGATCACTAGAAGGAGTTTCTTGCAAATATTTCAGCAGAAAAGGAGCCAACTCACTATAAGTAAGTTGTTTTACATCCATGTAGCAACCATGCAAAAGGAACTAGATGCTTGGAAGAGAAAATACATGGGAGTGGACAAAATTGCTATGCCAACAAGCAATTGGGTCGAGATGGGTTTAAAAATTAAGAGGAAGACTGATGGATCAGTGGAGAGGTATAAGGCTAGACTTGTGGCTAAGGGCTACAACCTTCGCCAGTGGCAAGATTGGTCACAATCAAGTTTCTTATTGCTACTATTATTCATAAAGGTTGGCCATTGCATCAACTGGATGTGAATAATGTTTCTCTATGGTAAGCTCACAGAGGAAGTGTATAAGACACCACCTCAAGGGGTATGACAAAGCCTCTTCAGGACATGTGTGTAGGTTCGTCAAGACTCTCTATGGCCTTAAACAGGCATCAAGAGAATGAAATCATGAATTGTGCAAATTTCCTTGCTTTGTTAGTATATGTGGATGATGTCTTGGCTACAAGTTCTTGCATTCAGTTGATACAAGAGTTTAAGTTGTTCTTAGACCATCAATTTACTATCAAGGATCTGGGAATAGCCAAGTCCTTTTGGGTGTTGAACTTATCCGGCACAAGGGGTTTCTTTATTCAGAGGATACATACTGGAAATTCTTGGTGATATGAATATGCTTGGTTGTACACCATCCCCAACGCCTTTACCTCTTGGTGTAAACTTAGAAATTCACAGTGGTAATCTTATGGTCAACCTGATGTTGAATAAAAGATTGATAGGTAGGCTGTTTTATCTTCGGTTAACTAGGCCTGATGTGACTTATGCTATCCAACAGTTAAGTCAGTTTGTAAATAGTCCACATGATGCTCATTGGAATGCAACCTTACACATATCCTGATATATATGAAAGGATCACCACCATTAGATCTAGTTTATCCTTATGCGGACAACATTGTTTACTCTCACGGCCTATTGTATTGCTTATAGGGCCACATGTAAGGACGCTAGAAGGTCCAATACTGGTTTTTGCAACTTTATAGGTATGCTCTTATTTCCTGGAAGAGCGAAGCAACATACAGTGTCCAGGTCCACTACCGAGGTTGAATATAGAGCTATGGGCTCTACTAATTAACGTGGCTTCATTATCTAGCTCAAGAGTTTCATCTGTCCATTGAGTTTCCAATTCCACTTTGATGTGATAACAGGGAAACCATGCATATTACTGCGAATCCAGTTTTTCATGAGAGAACCAAGCATCTTGATATCGATGGTCATCTTGTACGTGACAAGTTCTAACAAGGGTTCATAGTTCCTATGTATGTTTCTTCTTTGAGCTTGCTGATTTGTTAACCAAGGTGGTTGCTGGGTATCGGTTCTCCTCTATGGTGATCAAGTTGGACATGATCGAGGTTCACCATGGCCCAACTTGAGGGGAGGGTGTTGAAGATGGTTGCAGTTTTTGAAGATAATCATGGTGGCCACGGCAGTTATTACCGTTGCAGCTCACAAGTCTCATTTCTTAGCTTAAAGTCAAAGCACATTTCTTTTATTTTTGTTGGTGTTTATTTCAGTTGTTTAAGTTCAAACGGTGTTATTTTGGACATGTAAAACTGTACCGTTATATTCATTTTCTGTTTTGTCCTTTTGCATGTATTTTGCTGTATATATATGCAACGCGTACATACAATTCGGGTCGATCGGATATTTTGAGCACTGAATTTTGCTCAACCATATTCAATTTTGCTCAACCATATTCTTACTTTACAGAAGATTATGAGTTTTGCTCTAGAGAAAATTATAAGAGTTGTGCAATGGTGCATCTGCAAAACAGTATGGCATTTCTAAATGAAAAGGTTAAGAAATTAGAGGTAGTAATAACTATGATTAATTTGGCACTAATGTTACGAAACTACTGCATGCAAGATAAAAAAAGTCGGAAACTTACCCTGAGTACCAACTGGAGAAGACGAGTCACGGCCAGAGGAAGATATCAGCACGAAGGGGAAAAAGGGTAAACATTTCAGCATTAGTATCAGATCAGTTAATGCTTTCCACACCTTGGAAAGACTCGTGAAATGCGAAAAGACCATACTGACCTTGGAGGGAGAAGTCCTTGAGGCTAATACGACACTGAGTGTAGACATTTTCGGTAATATTTGCTCTCCGCAGTTTTACTCCGAGTGATGCAGCACAATTCAAGGCCTGCAAGTTCGTGACAAAGCTCTGCCTTTGCAGGTGAGAAACATAGCTATCGACTGAACTGCAACATGCTGATTGGTTGTTTCTCCCAGGATCACACCCTTCTATGACATGCCTTATGCTTGGAAAATTCAGAGGACAAACTGAGGTAGCAAATCAAACACGAGAAAAAGAAGTTAATTCCAACTAAGATACATAGTTCAACACCAATAACCGAAACATGATTATTATCCTAAAATGAAAAACAGATCATAAAAAATAAAATTTTGATTTAAAAAAGCTGAGGTTCTTGATAAACCCTGGTTCTTTTGACAATTAGTAGACTCACCCTTCTTTTTGTAATTAATTATTTTTTATTCAAAAAAACCCACAAGAAATCTGTATTCACAGCTCACCTTTATTAATTCTGCAATTAGACAGCCCCCGAAGAACCTCCTTCGCCCCATTAACCTCGAGCTTGCTCCCGAGCCACCGGAGCACGATGTTCTTACAGTCGCTAACCCGAGTCGACAGGTCAGCCAGTGCATGGGACCCACCATCCACTTTCAACAAAGTATAGGCCTTCTGGGCCAGCTTTCTAGAAGCATCCAGAACCGCATTCTGGCAGACCTGCTCACAGCACTCATTCACGCTGTCAATCTTTCCGCAAGCAGCCAGGAGGCTCGAGGAGTCCACCGTGCCTTCAAACTCGGCCACATCAGTGACTGGGCACGAGCCTTCGGTTAGATTCGAGGCCCGAACGGAGCATATTCGAGACAGGTCCTCGTTAGCTCCCTGGCCCGCGAGCGCCCGCTCGAAGTCCGAGAGGCAGTGGGCCGCGGTGGACCCATTAAGGGCGAGGGTGCCTGTTTTCTTGCTCGACTGGCCCACGAGGATGGCCAGGGTAGCCTCCAGCTGGGGGCAGCAGACCACATTGGCAAGGAGAGGGGCAAATGCGGCCATGCAATTGGTGGACGTGACAGTCATCATGCCCGAGAGGGCTGTGAAATTCAGTGGGCAGTGTCCTGTAATTTTTTAAGATTGGCACTCTGAGTTCAGAATTTTAGAAGCAAAAAAGGGGGAAAAAAGTGAACGACTATGAATAACTCCTTGACTATTTTGAGGTAGTCACCGAAAATCAACTTGATGCTTGTATATTGTCATCGAAGGGGAAAAATAGAAAAAACACGGTCATTTTTTTAATTTAATTTAACTAAGTTGACTTGGAACTCTAGGGATGATTTCTAAGACTTTATGTAGCCATTAATTAATTTTCTAATATAACCATTGGGTTTATGAGTAGATTTGGATATAGAGAGGTTTTGTAACACTTGAAGGGGGCATTTATTGCTTCTCCAAGATAAACCGGGGTTTACTGGTTATCATCCCTAAAAGTTTGTAAATATGCGGAGTGCAAGAGACTAACCGGATAATCGGGGGACTGTGCTGTTTGTGAATGGCGTCAATGGAGATGGTGCAAGAAGAGGAAGAAAAGGCTGAGGTGCTGCAGTTGGGGACGTGTAAGGTAAAAGTTCATCTGCTTTTCTAACTGCGAACATAGAACTTTTGTAATAACCCGGCACCGATTGGGAAGATACATGAATACCTGTAGAAGCGGTAAATAAACAAAAACAGATGATTGTAAATTAGAATGATTTCAATAGATACAGGATTGAGAAAATCAGCACATGTTGCTCAAACTGATCTAATAATAATCTTGACTTAGGTTGCATTTTTTTTCTTTAATTTTGTTCGGTGATGCAATAAAAAGTTAAAAAAGGAAAACTTGACGAAAAAATATGAGTTGTATTGTTTTCTCAAAATATGAGTTGAGTTGGTTTCTCAAGCATTCAGCAGTTCGAAGTAAAAATATACACTAACATAACAAAACTATTACAATCGTGAGGCTTTCAAATACGACGAAATACGCAGATACATTCAACAACTTAAGTTGGTCACTCAAAATCTGATGCCGGTATAATTGCGACTAGGCAAAATCTGACATAACAATTAATTAGCCGAACTATGCCAGCTGGAAGTGACTTCTAATTGACATTACCATGTACCTTTTCAAAGCTTCTGAAGTCACTTATATATCAAGCATTCAGCACTTCAAAGTAAACCACACAGCAACATAAACAAAATTATTGCAACCGTGAGGCCTTTCAAATACGACGACATGTGCTCGATTTTTAGCCCCAAAATTCCAATAACCACAATGCCATAAGATTTCCCTATCTCTTCCCAAGGTGAAAAACAAATATAATTGTTAAAAGGTGATATTTTCCCATGATGAAGACAAAATTGTTATAGCTAACTAATGCCATGGCCTGAAAATCCAATTTAATCCTCTTTCTTTCGCAGATCGACAAAATGTACACACGAGACTCAGAAAAGGACTGCTAATTAAAAACATTCCTAATTCAAAACCCTAATATATTTTTCTCCCAGAAACACAATTCATGTGATCAATTATACAAAACAGGAGCTGCGTATTGAATATACATTAAAGAAAAGAATTCTGCAGGTAACCTCACAACATAAACACAGTAAAAATTTCTCATTTGCATTTTAAGAGCAGAGATAAACAATGCAGACATTAACACTAAGAAAATAACTACAGCCAAAGCAAAACATTAACTTCTGCACCTGAGCATAGCATTCTAAGACAATTAACCTCGGGAAGCTAAATTTTCCTCAAACACCGAACGCATCAAAACAAACGCAGCCAATTTCTTGAAAAGAACATACAGAACACTTTCAATATGTGTAAGAAAAATGGGAAAAATTAAGACAACATATGACACCAACAGATCGTTCGAAAACTAAACGAAAAATTTGTATCATAAAAAAGGCTAAAAGATGCTCACAGAGAAGAAGAATCACAGCAAACAGATGAGAACTTCGAGCCAGCCCCCTCATTCCTAATTTTACGGTTTTGCCACCAGCCCCAAATTGCAATGAATTAGGCAAACAATGTAGGATTTATGATAAAGATTGAAACTTTGAACTCAAAATAGAGAGAGAACAAGAAAAAGAAAAGAATTGGGAGGGAAATAAACTGGGAAAAATAAAAGGGATGCGTCTGGTTAAAGCAGAGGAGGGGTTGGGGCAGCCATGAATGAGCTGCATAAGTGAGGTGGGGACAAAAAGCAGTAATCAAGAATAGCTGTACAGAAATTGTGAAGCGGTCCCACTTTATGAAATTGTATACGAACAAGGAGAAAAGCATGGACAAAGGAAAAATTACTGGTGGCTGGTGAGTGCTGAGTGATAATTGGTGTGTGAACTCAGATGAGCTGCGAGGTTGCAACCACCGCCTAAAGAGTCATGCCGCCATTAAAGGCCGTGGGCTGCCTTTTTCATCTGTCTGTGTGTGTGGACCGTTGACTCACATGCGGGGCACGTGATTCGCGCACTTGATGGAGTTTGATAATTATATTATTATTATTATTATTATTATTATTATTATTATTATTATGTTATTACTATCATATAATTCGTGCGACGCACGGGCTGTAATTATTTTGAAAAAATTTAATAAATTGAAGGTCATTAATCAGTAAGTCTGAGACTAACTTTGTCTCTTATTTACGGTCGTAATATAGGAAACCACGCTTTCTTTTATCGTTTGTGGACGGAATTTGAGATATATGGTTTTTGTTTCCTTTTGGTTGGTGTTGGTGCATGTCAACGCCTACAATTATTTATCAAAATAAATACATTTATAAATTGGTTAAAAAAAATGAGCATATAAAATAAGATGAAAATAAAATAAACAAAATATTTTGTGAAATATAGATTATTGCTTTCACACATAAGTCTAAAAGCTACAATCTTACTACGTTTTGATTTGCATCCGACCAAACTACTACTCCACCAGAAGAAAGTCTCATGCCTGCAACCTTAGAAAACTAACTAACATGCTAAAGAGCATCAAATCTGCTCTTTTGCTAAAGAGCTTCATGTTTGGTGCCCAATTGGTTAAATAGCGACCGGATGTTGGAACTCATATGGGTCTGGCCATTGCTTATACTTTCGGGATCTTTGGAATGGTTAGGCTGACAGGGGTGTTGTTTTTTCTTTCCCTTATCAAAGGCCCCCGATATTTCCTAGGATTGGACCCCCATGAGATTGAGGATTTTGTGTTTGTCCAAGATTTTGTTGAGAAGTGTGAGGATGAGTTTTTTAGGGAGGACTATTATGAAGGATTTGAGAGAACAAATCAGTAAGGCTCTTGACAAAAGCAGAATTTCAAAAAATGTCGATACCATCGGGATGGATGGGAGTGTTGTTGTCCTCAGGTTGGTTTGAAATGGGATTGGAGTGTGACATCGTTGGACCTGGTTAGGACAAGGTAGATTCACCAAAATATTAAATTGATCCTTCGTCTACCGTCAAATTGTTGAGGCGCGATCGCCAATAATCCTTAATAGCAAGATTAAAGAAGGATGAGATTGGATTAAATATGGGGTCGATATGATCTATAATGGTGAAAAATGTAGTTCTATGTAAACTTTTATATGAAATAGCAAAAAAATAAAGAAAGCACGATTTTGCTGGTCTATTGGGAGATCGACGAGGAGAAAATTTCTCCAAAAGTGAGACTAGCAAAGAATACTTTCGGTACTCTGAAAGTTCTTATTTGAGCTAGTATATGCTCGTAGGTCGCTGCACTAATGTGTTATGATAAATTCTAGTGATCATTTGTATTTGTACACTGAAGAGTCGAGGGCCTTCTTTATACGCCGGAAAAGGCAAAATATAATTATAGCCACTTGCCACCTTGATGGCTAAGTGAATGACGTGTGGTGCAACGCAGGAATTCACCTTTTGAGGACGGGATATATATTTTCTTCAGACTTGCAAGATATGACCAGTTTGGATAGCGAGACAAGATCTTTTGGGTCGTGGTTTCACTTTCACCGTCTTCAATGGCTTTACGAGTTTGGATCATCAGAAGGCGTTCATATATTGTCGAGCGATCGGCGATGTGGGATCGACAATAGGCGCGCGATACCTGATGATCGAATGTTGGTAGATCGTCTCCTCACTTTTGGGTCGATCATGCGAAGGTGTACAGTTTTCTTAGGCTTTGCTTGGACATTAAGCGCTTAGTCGATAATGAGTCGTGTTCCCTTCTTAATTGTGTGGGCTTTCATACGACGCCTTTATGACATATTCAACAAGTCTTGGACTCGCTTTTTATTGCCTTTAATTAATTCGTTAACAAATACAAACCTCACTTTGGTTATTACGTTTATCCACGCATCAAACAGTTCAAAAACACTTGAGGAATAATGTCCCCCATTAAATCATTACCACTTAACCTATTTTTGTGCATTTTGTTTATTGAAACAATTAATTGATCTCTTAATTGTCCTTTATTGGCTTCTTCCTACATTTTAACTCTAACAGTCAACGGCAAAGAAATGAGAGTTTTAAGAAATTTGGACCCCAATTTGCAAATAATGCACAAAATGGGAGGTGAATGAAAATTGAAAACATTGGGCTTGTGGGCAATAAATGGATGGGTGTACTCACACATCTTTTTCTTGAAAAAGGTAAGCAAGAAGGTATGCACCTCTCAATATGCTTGTTTTCCTATAGTTTTCTATCTCATTATATTTTAACTCCATCTGCCCACTTTTCTCTCCATGTCCCCACCAATATATATTTCACTGAAATCATTTTTTTTTTTATTTTTTTTTTAATTGAGATTTATATTTCATAATTTCACTTTTTTTTAAAAAAAAAAATAAAGTTGATATATATATAGATTATGAATTCATTTTTGTTGTGAACTTCTTAGTAGTAACAACAAAATGATGCATGACTAATCTTGTTCTCTCTATTGCCTATTGGTGCTATCCGCCAAGTTCAATACATAGCTACCAATAGTTGCTTTTAAATGATGTAATTAGTCACAGCTGATTAAAAATATAAGAAAATACTACAATCCCGTTGACAGAATGGTGTCGCCAGTACGTAGTATCTACCGTAAATATACATGTAGATCAGTTTTGTGTAGATAATCTACGGTAGAAACTACAGACGGCGTCATTCCGTCAACGAGAATGTAGTCATCTCAAAAAACATATTTATGTTAATGAATATAAGGTGGATTAAACAATCTGTGGGATAACATTAATGAACTTTGTGATAGTGATGAGTCCAATATATATATATATATATATATAATAAAACACACATATTTAATAAGCCAAGATAATTACACCATGGCCCTATTAATCATTGTCACTATTAATTTTATCTCCTCAATAAAGGTCATATACCTTTTTTTTAATATTTTTTTTTAAAAAAAAAATTGGTACAAACCTTTATTATTTATTAACTGTAGGAGAAAGATTTCACAGTTACCTAAGATCACTGTGCACAAGCAAATGCATTTGGGTCCACTCGACGAGCTAAAGATATGAAGTGTGGGTTATATATTATTATTAATTTATTATGCTTAATTTGTGTAATTGTTTAAATACTTATGGTTTAATTATTGGATGTGAATTTAAATAACTAAGTGACTAAGTCAGACGATTTTTATTATACACGTACGTATATTCTCCAATTATTATAGTAATGTTTGTTATCACGGTTGACATTTTTACATGCAATTAATTAATTAAATTTACCACGATCAAATTTAATTATCACAATGGAAGTCAATTACTCCTTTAATTTTTGTTACTTGAAGTACAATAATTTCGATATGCCTATTACGAATCCGCACCCCCTGCGATCGATAAACATTTTGGATCTTATTAACCAAAGAGATACGACTTTGCGCGATAGTTAGTTCAGCACCAATCCACGGCATTTCAAGTGTACAAAGAAGGAGGTCGCAAGCCCTATAATCAATTATGCTAGAACACGAGGGGGTAAGAAATCAGAAATTCTATGGTGTCACATGTGGCACCATGTTATGGTGCCACAACATGATGTGGCACATTATGATTGGTGTCACACAACTATCACACGTCATGTTGTAGCACCAATCATAATGTGCCACATCATGTTGTGACACCATAACATGTGGCACATGTGGCACCATAGAATTTCTGGGTAAGAAATTCCAATAAGATCATACTGAAGCCATTATCCCACAATAAAATTACTTCTTTAATTTTTACCCTCTTTTTTTGGAACAGCATGAAATTAAAATATCCCACAAAAGAGGCCAAATAATTATTACAAGCAACCAAGTAAAGAATAGTCACTTTCTCATGCACACACATGTAATGTGTGCACGGGCCCTGCAGTTTATCATCATATGTACTGTTTTTTATTTTATTTTTTTTTTCTTGCCTTTTTTCACTTTTTTTTTTTCATGAATTTCACCCAACATCACTGACACGACATGAGAATTGAAGTTATCTGTTTCCCAGTAAGATTTATGTTTCGAGGGTTTTTTATGATTAAATATCACAATTTTGAGGTCTTTTTGGGGAACAATGAGACACTAAGGTCTCATATTTTTGATACAATTAATGTCTACATGTCCAACCAATACTTTGCCTTAAAAAAAAAAAAAAAAGTTAATTTAAGCTAACAACTTTTGTGCTCTTGTAATGTTCTAAGTACAAAATACTATCATGTTACATTATCAAGATAATTTTTAGATTGAATTATTAAATACATACTTGATAATTATTCACTATAATTTTTTCAAATTCAACAATTTAGACGTCGCTAGCACATAATTTGTTAAGTCAGTACGTTTGATGAATCATATTGATAAAGTATATATTAACTCAAATTATATATAATTTGTATATACTTAGTGTACAATGTGATTACTAGATATGGTAAATGATACGGTCCCGTTATCGAACCATTCTGTCGGAGTTTGTAACCGTCGTGGACAGTTGATCTGACGGTTACAAATTCCGTCGAAATAGTTCCGT